ATTGAGAAACAATTTTTTTGGCCCCATTTACCACAATGTTAACTAAAATTTCAAAGTGATCCAGAATCCAGGATTTGTTCCGGATCAGCCCCAAAATGAAATCAGTTCTTCCTTTTCACATTTCCAACAAATCCTGAAAATTTCATCAAAATCGGTCCATAACTTTTTGAGTTATGTTGCTAACAGACAAACAAACAACAAACAAACAAACAGACAAACAAACAAAAACAAAAGACAAACAAACAAACAGACAAAAACAAACAAACAGACAAACAAACAAACAGACAAACAAACAACAGACAAACAAACAAACAGACAAACAAACAAACAAACAAACAGACAAACAAACAAACAAACAAACAGACAACAAACAAACAAACAAACAGACAAACAAACAGACAACAAACAAACAAACAAACACAAACAAACAAACAGACAAACAACAAACAAACAGACAAACAAACAAACAAACAAACAAACAAACAACAAACAAACAAACAAACAAACAAACAAACAGACAAACAAACAAACACAAACAGACAAACAGACAAACAAACAAACAAACAAACAAACAAACAGACAAACAAACAAACAAAGACAAACAAACAGACAACAAACAAACAAACAAACAGACAAACAAACAAACAGACAAACAAACAACAAACAAACAAACAGACAAACAAACAAACAGACAAACAAACAAACAAACAAACAGACAAACAAACAAACAAACAAACAAAAAAACAAACAAACAGACAAACAAACAGACAAACAAACAGACAAACAAACAAACAAACAAACAAACAGACAAACAAACAAACAAACAAACAAACAGACAAACAAACAAACAGACAAACAAACAAAACAAACAGACAAACAAACAAACAACAAACAAACAACAAACAACAAACAGACAAACAAACAACAAACAAACAGACAAACAAACAAACAAACAGACAAACAAACAAACAAACAAACAAACAAACAGACAAACAAACAAACAACACAAACAAACAAACAAACAAACAAACAACAGACAAACAAACAAACAAACAGACAAACAAACAAACAACAAACAACATAACAGACAAACAAACAACAACAAACAAACAAACAAACAGACAAACAAACAAACAACAAACAGACAGACAAACGGCAAAAACATAACCTCCTTGGCGGAGGTAATAATGCCAAATTCTAGATATAGTATAATATTCTAGATATAATAAATATTCTAGATATAATAAATATTCTAGATATAAAAAATAATGTCAAATTCTAGATATTAGACCCTTTGTGTAAACGCTGTAAACAGGCCCCGGCCTCTTTGTCTCACATGTTTTGCTCTGAACTGTTAAATTTCTGGTCAAATATTTTTCTAATATTGTCAAAAGCTCTACACAAATCTATTGATTTAAATCCTCTTACAGCAGGACTTGGGATAATAGACTCAAAAGTTGTTAAAAAAAAATCTGAGCGTCAGGTGTTACAGTTTATCTGTCTCTGTTTGCACGAAGATTAATTTTATTGAAGTGGAAACAGGCAGAGCCTCCGTCACATGTGAACTGGTTCAGAGACGTTATGATGCATTTGGATCGAGAGAAAATGAGCTCCTCTTTGCAGGTCAGGAAGATCAATTTAATAGGATATGGTCGCCTTTTATTAGCTTATTTAAAGAAGGTATTTAAACTACTATTTAAGTCCAAGCTGATGGGATTTGTACTATCCACCTTTTCCACTTATACATTTTGGTGAAATATTATTACTTTTTGTCTGTGTGAATGTTCAGTTGCTTTTATTTCAGGTTTTTTTTTTTTTTTTCTGTTTAACATCATCCAACATATAATATTAATAATTTATAAGGATCCTAAGATGTTGTTGACGAATATATATATGACATGTATATTTTTGGTGGACCTTCTTTGAAAGGCTGCTTTTTTTTTTAACATGTCTGATTATTTTATGGACTGACACTGTATATTGGATGTCAAAAACACAATTAACAGAGTGTAAAAAAAAAAAATAAAAATTCTAGATATTAGTTGTTTTGTTTCTTCCAGTCGCCCGTTTTTCATGGAGGTGCTCAGGTTTCTCGGCACCTCGACTTAGATTTAGACAAAGTTTATTGAGCCTCAAGGGAAATGATTTGGACACAGCAGCTCACACATCACAATAAAATATAATAACAAAGAGCAAAAAGGTATAAATGGTGATAATAAATTCTAAATAAAAAGCAAAAAAGAGCAACAGACTGGAGTCAAATGAGACATAATGATATAAATGTAAATGTACAAGTCAAAATAAAATAGAAAAATAGTTGGGAGTTCACTTTGGCCAAACGAAACTGAAGAAGCTGAGAAACGTCTTCACTCAAAAAACGTTTGTCCAGTTACAGAAGTGAGTTTTTCTTCAGACACAAAATAAACACACACACACACACACACTTATAGATAATAGAATAAAATCACAATAATACAGTCGTGTCTGATCACAGGAGCTGTTTCTCTTTCTGTTGCTGTTTCTCTGTTTTTTGTTTTGTTTTTTTCTTGGTGAAGGACAAACTCTTTTTTTTCAGACGGAGACAAAAGTTTTTTTTTTAAACTCGCTCTGATCCTTTTCTTTTCAGAATAATGAACCTTCACAGACGCCCACAGCCGCTCCGAACGTCTCAAACTCTTCCAAACAACTTTTTCACTTTCTGCTCCTCCTCCGTGTCTCCACTGAAAAGTTACTGCTTTAGAAAGAATGTCCCGCAGTACGGCATTAAACTCCAACACCACCACCCCCGGAATCACCAGGTCACAGGTCACATCACTCAGAATGCAGAAAGGAGACATATAAAGCCATACAGTGGAACATTTTAAAGCAATAACATCCCCATGGAGACAAGCAGGTGGTGCTCCAGAAAAGTTACAGAGTGAGACTTTATTATGTGGGACAAATCTCCTTTATTAACTTTGAAAACCACCGGGTTGGACATCAGTGTGTGCGTCTCCACGGCGACGGGAGGCTTCACGTGTGTCTCCACGGCGACGGGAGGCTTCACGTGTGTCTCCACGGCGACGGGAGGCTTCACGTGCGTCTCCACGGCGACGGGAGGCTTCACGTGCGTCTCCACGGCGACGGGACGCTGCTCTGGGCTGAGTCAGAACATCTGGAGAATCTGAGAACCTGAGAATAAAATGTGTCACCCTCCTCCTCCTCCTCCTCCTCCACTCTCTCTCTCTTCTCTTTCTCTCAGTCTCTTTCTGTCTTTCTATTTCAGTCTTTCTCCTCCCCCTCTTTTTTCTCTCTCTCTTTCCCCTCTTTTTCTATCTCTCAATTTCTCTCCTCTCTGTCTCTCTCTCTCTCTCTCTCTCTCTCTTTTCCCTCTCTTTCTATCTCTCTCTTTCTGTCTCTTCTCTTTCTCTCCTCTCTCCCTCCTCTCTCTTTCTCTCTCTATCTCTTTCCCCTTTCTTTCTATCACTCTCTCCCTCTCTTTCTCCTCCCCCTCTCTCTTTCTGTCTCTCTCTTCCTATCTCTCTCTTTCTCCTCCCCCTCTTTTTCTATCTCTCTCTTTCTCTCCTCTCTCTCCCCTCTCTTTCTCTCTCTTTTTCTCCTCCTCCTCTCTTTCTCTCTCTCTCTCCCCCTCTCACTCTCTCTCTCTCTCTCTCTCTCTTTACACCTCCACTCCACCTCTCTCTCACACACTCTCTCACTCTCTCTCTCTCCCTTCTTCTCTCCTCTCCGCTCTCTTTTTACACCAGCTCTACCCCTCTCTCTCTCCTCTTCCCTCTCTTTCCCTCTCTTTCTCTCTCTTTTTCTCCTCTTCCTCTCATTCTCTCTCCCTCCCTCTCTCTTTCTCTCTTTCCCCTCTTTTTCTATCTCTGTTTCTCTCCTCTCTGTCTTTCTCTCTCTCCCTCTCTCCACTCTCTCTTAACACCTCCACTCCACCTCTCTCTCACACACTCTCTCTGTCTCTCTTCCCTCTTCTCTCCTCTCCGCTCTCTTTACACCATCTCTACCTCTCTCTCTCTCCTCTTCCCTTTCTTTCTCTCTCTTTCTCTCTCTCTTTAGGCAATAAAATAAATAATAAAATATTTTTCAAAAAAAATATTTAAATATATATTGCAGCTGCGGCTATGCCTTTATATTTATACAGTAATATATATTTAATTTATTTATTTTTTTATTTTATTTGACTGTACTGTATTGTATTTTACTGTATTGTATTGTAATTTATTTTATTTTATTTTATTATATTGTATTTTGTTTTATTGTATTTTATTTTTTTATTTTCTATTTTATTTTATTTTACTGTATTGTATTGTATTTTATTTTATTATTTTATTTTATTTTACTGTATTGTATTTTGTTGCATTGTATTTTTGTATTTTATTTTATTTTTATTTTATTTTACTGTATTGTATTGTATTTTTTTATTGTATTTTATTGTATTTTATTGTATTTTATTGTATTTTATTTTATTTTACTGTATTGTATTGTATTTTATTTCATTTTATTTTATTATCTTTTATTGTATTTTATTGTATCGTATTTTGTTTTATTTTATTGTATTGTATTGTATTGTATTGTATTTTTATTTATTTTATTTTATTGTATTTTATTTCATTTTATTTTATTTTATTTAAACATATAAAAAGTGATTTTGTTTTTACCGTAACTTTCGCGCTCGCGTTGATCAAACTCAAAACAAGATCAAATTTCGTCATCTACTGGACAAAACACAGAACTACAAATAAGCACATTTTTAATTTATTTATTTATTTTATTTATCTTTAATTTTTTTCACAATAACTTTTTTCCAGGCTGATTTAATCCACCGAAAGCTTTTATTCGACTAAAAATAAAACAGATTTGTATAAACGGTATTTTTAAACACGTGGATTATAGTTTATGAAGGTCGGTTCTTTCAGCCAATCACGTCTATTCTTCCCAGGCCTGTAACCAATCACAGTGAAGCATGAGCCTGTGGGGGCGGGTCTTCCTGCGCAGTGCTTCCGGGTTCGGTTCAAACACATGACATTAGATTACATCGACGCGTCCCCCGAAAATGTGCAAAATTTGCGCTAAAAACTGAAAATATTATCATTTTTTAAAAGTAATTTAAGCCGGAATAAAAGGAAACATGTGGCGACAGGCGAAGACCGCGATTCACAAAGTTTTACGGTGAGTTTTATCAGGATTTAGAAACAGAGACACGGGGTCAGAACGAGACACGAAAATAAATAAAAAACACGGCAGAATTTTAATGTTTGTTTGTGTTTATATATTATAATTCCGATTAATTTTGACTCGTGGTTTGATTCTGTAAAAGGCAAAATAAATATAATACTGAACTGAAATGTGATTATTCAGAATTTATTGAGAATTTGCCGCGTCAGAGTGACTCTTCTGTTTCATTTTCTGCTATTTTTTTTATAAATTTTTTTTTTCCAAAAGTCAAATCCTCAAATGTTTTCCCTGATTATTTATGTTAGACCTGGTTTAGTTCTGATCTAGACCTAGTTTAGCCTTGAGTTAGTCCTTTTGTTCAGTTTTAGTCTCTTGTTTAGACCTGGTTTAGTCCTAGTTTAGACCTGTTTTAGTCCGGGTTTAGTCATGTTTTAGACCTGGTTTAGTCCTGTTTTAGTCCTGGTTTAATCCAAGTTTAGACACGTTTTAGACCTGATTTAGTCCTGGTTTAGTCCTGGTTTAGTCCTGGTTCAGTCCTGGTTCAGTCCTGGTTTAGTCCTAGTTTAGACCTAGTTTAGACCTGGTTTAGTCCTAATTTAGTCCTGTTTTAGACCTGGTTTAGTCCCGGTCCTGGTTTAGTCCTGGTTTAGTCCTGGTTCAGTCCTGGATGAGTCCTGTTTTAGTCCTGGTTTAATCCAAGTTTAGACCCGTTTTAGACCTGGTTTAGTCCTGTTTTAGTCTGGGTTTAGTCATGTTTTAGACCTGGTTTAGTCCTGTTTTAGTCCGGGTTTAGACTTGGTTTAGACCTGGTTTAGTCCTGTTTTAGTCCTGGTTTAATCCAAGTTTAGACCCGTTTTAGACCCGGTTTAGACCTGGTTTAGACCTGATTTAGTCCTGGTTTAATCCAAGTTTAGACCCTTTTTAGACCTGGTTTAGTCCTGGTTTAGACCTGGTTTAGTCCTGGTTCAGTCCTGGATTAGTCCTGTTTTAGTCCTGGTTTAATCCAAGTTTAGACCCGTTTTAGACCTGATTTAGACCTGACTTAGTGCTGGTTTAGTGCTGGTTCAGTCCTGGTTTAATCCAAGTTTAGACCCGTTTTAGACCTGGTTTAGTCCTGGTTTAGACCTGATTTAGACCTGACTTAGTGCTGGTTCAGTCGTGGTGTAGTCCTGGTTTAGTCCTGGTTTATTTTTCGTGTTGTTTATCTCTTTTCCGTCTCTAATAACTCATTTCTAAATCAAAGCCGTCGCCTTTAAAAACTCTTGCTCCTTTATTAAACTTTTATTCGTAAATCGTTTTTATTTCCTGTTTTTTTTTGTTTTGTTTTGTTTTGTTTCTAGGTTAAATTCCATCCATAGACACCCATGCAGAGCGCTGAAGTGCACCTCCGCTCCAGAGAGGGCGCTGCTGTACCGGCCCGGACAGAACCTCCACGGATTCACCGTCAAAGAGGTGAAAGTTTCAGTTCTTAGACAGATTCAGTTCAGATTAATTAACTGTTAATGTTGTTAATGTTCATGCAACGACGTTGTATATTGAAATATCGACATATCGTATCGTTTAGTGTGATCAAACAGTATCGATATCTTGGGCTGCTGTATCGATATATCGCCAAGAGTATTTTCACATATTTATATTTTAAGTTTTTTTGTGTAAGAGCTACGGTGGTGTTGACATTTTCACTGTTTTGAGTAAAATCTGTGTTTTTCGTTTTAACTTTGCACAAATTTAGTCGACTTCGTAAACTTTTAGTATCGCAGCTGTGCTTTAGGATTTGTTTTTCATTGAACCGTATCGAGTCGATTTGAAATATATCGTATTGAGTCGTATTGGATCGAAAGCTTAGTGTATCGAAAAGGGTATTGTATCGTGGTCTTTATATCGAGATATGTATCGTATCATATCGTGGCCTATGTATCAAAGTATGTATTGTGTCATGGCCTATGTATCGAGGTATGCATCTCGTCGTGGCCTATGTATCCAGATATGTATCGTAACGTAGCTTATGTATCGAGGTATGTATCGTATCATGGCCTATGTATCGAGGTATGCATCTCGTCGTGGCCTATGTATCCAGATATGTATCGTAACGTAGCTTATGTATCGAGGTATGTATCGTATCATGGCCTATGTATCGAGGTATGCATCTCGTGTGGCCTATGTATCCAGATTTGTATCATAACGTAGCTTATGTATCGAGGTATGTATCGTATCGTGGCCTATGTATCGAGGTATGCATTGTATCGTGGCCTATGTATCGAGGTATGCATTGTATCGTGGCCTATGTATCGAGGTATGCATCGTATCGTGGCCTATGTATCGAGGTGTGCATCATGTCGTGGCCTATGTATCGAGATATATATCGTATCGTGGCCTACTATGTATCGAGGTATGCATCGTGTCGTGGTCTATGTATCGTATCGTATCGTATGTATCGAGACATGTATCGTATCGTGGCCTACGTATCGAGGTACATGTATCGTATCGTGGCCTATGTATCGAGGTATGTATCGTATCGTGGCCTATGTATCGAGATATATATCGTATCGTGGCCTACTATGTATCGAGGTATGCATCGTATCGTGGCCTATGTATCGTATCGTGGTCTATGTATCGAGACATGTATCGTATCGTGGCCTACGTATCGAGACATGTATCGTATCGTGGCCTATGTATCGAGGTATGCATCGTGTCGTGGTCTATGTATCGAGACATGTATCGTATCGTGGCCTATGTATCGTATCGTGGCCTACGTATCGAGACATGTATCGTATCGTGGCCTATGTATCGAGGTATGCATCGTGTCGTGGTCTATGTATCGAGATATGTATCGTATCGTGGCCTACGTGTATCGAGGTATGTATCGTATCGTGGCCTATGTATCGTATTGGCAACTTCTTCATTATTGATACCAGTCTTGATATTTAAATGTTCACAGATGTTTTAATCGTTGTGTTTTTTTTTAGACGATTAAACGTTCACAGATGTTTTAATCGTTGTATTTTTAGGTGTTTTTTTTTAGACGATTTAAAGTTCACAGATGTTTTGATCGTTGTGTTTTTAGACGATTAAAGTTCACAGATGTTTTGATCGTTGTGTTTTTTAGACGATTAAACGTTCACAGATGTTTTAATCGTTGTGTTTTTAGACGATTAGTTCACAGATGTTTTTTTTTTTTTTAGACGATTAAACGTTCACAGATGTTTTGATCGTTGTGTTTTTAGACGATTAAACGTTCACAGATGTTTTAATCGTTGTGCTTTTAGACGATTAATCGTTCACAGATGTTTTGATCGTTGTGTTTTTAGACGATTAAACATTCACAGATGTTTTGATCGTTGTGTTTTTAGACGATTAAACGTTCTCAGATGTTTTAATCGTTGTGTTTTTAGACGATTAAACGTTCTCAGATGTTTTAACCGTTGTGTTTTTAGGTGTTTTTTTTAGACGATTTAAAGTTCACAGATGTTTTATCGTTGTGTTTTTAGACGATTTAAAGTTCACAGATGTTTTAACCGTTGTGTTTTCAGGTGGTGTCGGTGCCTGATCTGTTTCTCACGGCCGTCAAACTCACTCACGATAAAACCGGAGCCGAGTATCTGCACACGGCCCGAGACGACTCCAACAACCTGTTCAGGTTTGGACCGTAACAAACTCAATGTGTCGCCATGGACACTGTTGCCATGGACACTGTCTCTGTTCACACGCTCATACAAATCTGATTATTGTTTTATTTTTTGGGGCTTTAAAGGTGCACTGTGTAACTTTTTTCGTGGAGGGTCCGTCAAATGCTTTTTTTTTCCCATGGAGATGTTACTGCTTTGTCTGGAATGGAAGATTTAGAATTTAAAATATTTCAGAATTTCTCACTTTGACTTTTAAACTCTGAAAAAAGATGTTTGAATTATTTTTATTCAAAAAAAAATCATTTAAAAATTCAAAGTGAGAAATTCAGTAGCGTTTAAAAATTCTAAATCTGATGGAACAAATGATCCTCCATATTCGATCTCCATGGAGACCGAACCAGACCAAGTTACGGGTGAGGTCTGTGGAGAGGCGACCCCGCTCACAGTCACAATGTCTGTTTTTCTCTGTATTTCTGAGCTTTAAAACCACCTGTAATTGAATAAATGTAAAGTCGAGCTGTTTAAAGTCACACTGCGGAACATCTCAGGCAGAGCAGTGACGTCTCCATAGAAACAAGCAGGTGACGGACCCCGAACAAAAAGTTACACAGAGCAGCTTTAAGATGATTTAAAGAGGAGGTATTATGCAGAAATCATAAACCTGCCTGAAGAGTTTGTAGCTTTTTGTCTGTGCGTGTCTGAGTCATTTAGTGATCTCTCCCCAGCCAAGATCAGAGTGGTGTAACAGGAGAGTGTGTTTGTGTTTGGAGCTTCATGTGGAGTTCAGATGTGGATTTAACCTCAGAACGATGAACTGCACCAGGAGAAGAATTTACATTGTGATCTCTCTCTCTTCTTCCTTTTCCCTCTCTATCTCTCCTCCTCTCCTTTCTCTTCTCTTCTCTCCTCTTTCTCTCTCTCTTCTCTCTCTCTCTCTCTCTCTCTCTCTCTCTCTCTCTCTCTCCTCTCTTTCTCTCTCTCTCTCTTCTCTCTCTCTCTCTCTCTCTCTCTCTCTCTCTCTCTCTCTCTCTCTCTCTCTCTTCTCTCTCTCTCTCTCTCTCTCTCTCTCTCTCTCTCTCTCTCTCTCTCTCTCTCTCTCTCTCTCTCTCTCTCTCTCTCTCTCTCTCTCTCTCTCTCTCTCTCTCTCTCTCTCTCTCTCTCTCTCTCTCTTCTCTCTCTCTCTCTTCTCTCTCTCTCTCTCTCTCTCTCTCTCTCTCTCTCTCTCTCTCTCTCTCTCTCTCTCTCTCTCTCTCTCTCTCTCTCTCTCTCTCTCTCTCTCTCTCTCTCTCTCTCTCTCTCTCTCTCTCTCTCTCTCTCTCTCTCTCTCTTCTCTCTCTCTCTCTCTCCTCTTCTCTCTCTCTCTCTCTCTCTCTCTCTCTCTCTCTCTCTCTCTCTCTCTCTCTCTCTCTCTCTCTCTCTCTCTCTCTCTCTCTCTCTCTCTCTCTCTCTCTCTCTCTCTCTCTCTCTCTCTCTCTCTCTCTCTCTCTCTCTCTCTCTCTCTCTCTCTCTCTCTCTCTCTCTCTCTCTCTCTCTCTCTCTCTCTCTCTCTCTCTCTCTCTCTCTCTCTCTCTCTCTCTCTCTCTCTCTCTCTCTCTCTCTCTCTCTCTCTCTCTCTCTCTCTCTCTCTCTCTCTCTCTCTCTCTCTCTCTCTCTCTCTCTCTCTCTCTCTCTCTCTCTCTCTCTCTCTCTCTCTCTCTCTCTCTCTCTCTCTCTCTCTTCTCTCTCTCTCTCTCTCTCTCTCTTCTCTCTCTCTCTCTTCTCTTCTCTCTCTCTCTCTCTCTCTCTCTCTCTCTCTCTCTCTCTCTCTCTCTCTCTCTCTCTCTTCTCTCTCTCTCTCTCTCTCTCTCTCTCTCTCTCTCTCTCTCTCTCTCTCTCTCTCTCTCTCTCTCTCTCTCTCTCTCTCTCTCTCTCCTCTCTCTCTCTCTCTCTCTCTCTCTCTCTCTCCTCTCTCTCTCTCTCTCTCTCTCTCTCTCTCTCTCTCTCTCTCTCTCTCTCTCCTCTCTCTCTCTCTCTCTCTCTCTCTCTCTCTCTCTCTCCTCTCTCTCTCTCTCTCTCTCTCTCCTCTCTCTTCTCTCTCTCTCTCTCTCTCTCTCTCTCTCTCTCTCTCTCTCTCTCTCTCTCTCTCTCTCTCTCTCTCTCTCTCTCTCTTCTCTCTCTCTCTCTCTCTCTCTCTCTCTCTCTCTCTCTCTCTCTCTCTCTCTCTCTCTCTCTCTCTCTCTCTCTCTCTCTCTCTCTCTCTCTCTCTCTCTCTCTCTCTCTCTCTCTCTCTCTCTCTCTCTCTCTCTCTCTCTCTCTCTCTCTCTCTCTCTCTCTCTCTCTTCTCTCTCTCTCTCCTCTCTCTTCTCTCTCTCTCTCTCTCTCTCTCTCTCTCTCTCTCTCTCTCTCTCCTCTCTCTCTCTCTCTCTCTCTTCTCTCTCTCTCTCTCTCTCTCTCCTCTCTCTCTCTCTCTCTCTCTCTCTCTCTCTCTCTCTCTCTCTCTCTCTCTCTCTCTCTCTCTCTCTCTCTCTCTCTCTCTCTCTCTCCTCTCTCTTCTCTTCTCTCTCGCTCTCTCTCTTCTTCTCTTCCTTTCTCTTCTCTCCGTCAGTGTCCAGTTCAGGACGACTCCTCTGGACAGCACCGGAGTCCCTCACATCCTGGAGCACACGGTTCTCTGTGGATCTCACAAGTTTCCCGTTCGAGATCCGTTCTTCAAGATGCTCAACCGCTCCCTGTCCACCTTCATGAACGCGTTTACAGGTACGGCGCCCCCTACAGGTTTAAGAACGCCTTTACAGGTACGGCGCCCCCTACAGGTTTAAGAACGCCTTTACAGGTACGGCGCCCCCTACAGGTTAAGAACGCCTTTACAGGTACGGCGCCCCCTACAGGTTTTACAGGTACGCGCCCCCTACAGGTTTTTACAGGTACGGCGCCCCCTACAGGTTTAAGAACGCCTTTACAGGTACGGCGCCCCCTACAGGTTAAGAACGCCTTACAGGTACGGCGCCCCCTACAGGTTTAAGAACGCCTTTACAGGTACGGCGCCCCCTACAGGTTTAAGAACGCGTTTACAGGTACAGCGCTCCCTACAGGTTTAAGAACGCCTTTACAGGTACAGCGCTCCCTACAGGTTTAAGAACGCCTTTACAGGTACGGCGCCCCCTACAGGTTCATAAACACATTTACAGGTACAACGCCCCCTACAGGTTAAGAACGCTTTACAGGTACGGCGCCCCCTACAGGTTAAGAACGCGTTTACAGGTACGCGTTACAGGTCGCATTACAGTACGCCCCCTACAGGTTTTAAGGTACGGCGCCCTACAGGTTTAAGAACGCGTTTACAGGTACGGCGCCCCCTACAGGTTTAAGAACGCGTTTACAGGTACGGCGCCCCCTACAGGTTAAGAACGCGTTTACAGGTACGGCGCCCCCTACAGGTTTAAGAACGCGTTTACAGGTACGGCGCCCCCTACAGGTTTAAGAACGCGTTTACAGGTACGGCGCCCCCTACAGGTTTAAGAACGCGTTTACAGGTACGGCGCCCCCTACAGGTTTAAGAACGCGTTTACAGGTACAACACCCCCTACAGGTTTAAGAACGCGTTTACAGGTACAACGCCCCCTACAGGTTCATAAACACATTTACAGGTACAACGCCCCCTACAGGTTCATAAACACATTTACAGGTACACGCCCCCTACAGGTTCATAAACACATTTACAGGTACAACGCCCCCTACAGGTTCATAAACACATTTACAGGTACAACGCCCCCTACAGGTTCAAAAACACGTTTACAGGTACAACGCCCCCTACAGGTTCATAAACACATTTACAGGTACAACGCCCCCTACAGGTTCATAAACACATTTACAGGTACGGCGCCCCCTACAGGTTTAAGAACGCGTTTTGTTTTGTTTATTATATTTAAGTGTGTGTTAATGTGTGATGACATATTTTGATTATTTTTGACTATTTTTTATTGATTTAATCCAGAATCATTTTTGTTTTATCAGCCTCTGTTCACACAAACAAAATCTTTCAATTAACCACATGAAAAATGAAATGTGAGCAGATTTGTGTTTTGTTTCGTGCAGCGAGTGACTACACCATGTACCCGTTCTCCACTCAAAACTCCAAGGACTTCCAGAACCTTCTGTCTGTGTATCTGGACGCTGTGTTTTTCCCCTGTTTACGGGAGCAGGACTTCTGGTAAAAGAACTTCTCTTAAAGTTTAAGTCCCGTCGGGTGTAAAAGTGTTCTCATACTTTTGTATCTGAGTGTGTTTGATGGTATCAGGCTGCATTATCGTGTAAATAATATGTGTGTATTGTTTAAATCATGTTGAAATCTATTGAGTTTAGTGTGTGTTGTTTTTCAGGCAGGAGGGCTGGAGGCTGGAGAACGAGGATCCCACCAACCCCAAGACTCCTCTGGTTTTTAAAGGAGTCGTCTTCAATGAAATGAAAGGAGCTTTTGTGAGTTACACTTTAATAGACAAGGACACAGCTGATCGTACTGCTACTAGTACTACTACTACTTCTAGATACTTCATAGGTATAGTAGTAGTGGGTATAGTATATTTTAATTGTGTTTTTATACGTGTTTATTGTTCATAATGTGGATGAATTGAATGTGAAATGTGGGACCAGCCTCTCAAACCTGCAAAACAAATTTACCTACAGGTATAAATAAAGCGACCTAACCTGACTGAATAGTACTTTTACTCTACAGTACAATTACTTCTTCCATCACAACTACAATTTAAGGGTGGGCAACATTATTCATAAAAGTAACTCCTCGGTAAAGTGCAGAGGACACGTCTCTGTTTGCTCACAGGGTCATTCATCATCTTCATAATCACAAATTTGACTTTTTTCTTCTCTCTATAATCCTAAACTTTGCCTGTACATTATGATTCTAACGTGAGTCTGTTTACTCTGTGTCTGTACATTATGAGTCTCTGTTTACTCTGTGTGGTTCTTGTGTTTGTTGCAGTCGGATAACGAGCGTCTTTACGCCCAGTACCTGCAGAATAAACTCTTCCCCGATCACACGTACTCTGTGGTGTCTGGAGGCGAGCCGCTCTGTATACCAGATCTGACCTGGAACCAGCTCAAACAGTTCCACGCTACGCACTACCACCCCAGCAACGCTAGGTAATAACGCTGTAATAACACTGTAATAACATGTTAATAATACGCTAATAACACTGTAATAACTAATAATACACAACAGTACCCCACAAACTTAATGTAACATTTTACCTCAGTTATGTGTTTGCCTGGTGAGTCCCTCCATTCTATTTAAATACAGAAGTCTAGAACCAGACTGTAGAGGGCGCCAAACAACCGTCCAATCACAGTCTCTTATTTGTGTCACATGTCTCTCCTCTGAGTGTTCATATCCTCGCATCATTCAGAACTAAGTCTTTCAATGTGGGAGACAGGAGACAGTTCCAGATCCTTTTATAAAGCTCAAAACACTCACATGAACACAGTTAAGTCTGATTTTAAATGCTTTACAAACTGAAAACATTACACACACGACCTGTCGCTCTGCAGAGGCGTCTCGGGTCAGTTGGTTACATCAGTCTGGTCACTGGTCACTCACGGGTCAGTTTGTGTCGTAGGTTCTTCACGTACGGAGACCTTCCTCTGGAGCAGCACCTGCAGCAGATCCAGCAGGAGGCGCTGTCCAAGTTTGAACGAATCGACCCCAAAACAGAAGTGCCGCCCCAGCCGCTCTGGCCCCGCCCCGTGAGTCCCACATACACACTGGCACATTAAATACTCTTTAAATATGATCAGATGTATTTAATCTACGTTTTACTGTAAATAAACTCTCATATTTAAACTTAACTCTCTGTAGACTCATGTTATTGTTCGTGTGTCCAGAGGGAGGCGCACGTGAGCTGTGGCCCTGACGCTCTGGCTCCAGACCCGACTCGACAGAACACACTCTGCGTCAGCTTCCTCCTGCCACAGTGAGGCGTTTTTTTATCATTAAAACCCAAAACACTAAACAACAGTGCTGCTAAAAGAGGCTCATCAAATTGCAGATGGGAAATGTATTACTTTTAAAACACCTTGACAAGATTTTGGTCCAAATCATTCCTGTCATAAGCTCAAGAATTCAAGTAAAAACATATGACTTTGTGTTGTGTGCACTGAAATGAATCATGGGATATGTAGTTCCTTATGTTTATTAACTCTTGCTATGACAAAACAATTAATTAAAGCAAAGGAACTTGTATTTCGATATATTGTGATGGTCCACGATATTACTGAGAGACTTTTCACGATACGATATCATGATATTTTTGTTACTGTTACATCCCGACATACAGACTAGTGACGGGCATTCGATGAAATTTTCTTATCGATTAATCATTAACGTTTTTATATTAAAATGATCATCATTATTATTACTATCTGCACTAATCTGCATAAATAAATTCAACTTTACGACATATAAACATAACGACGACTCTAGATCCACATCAGCTGTTTGACATTATAATGTGTTTAATTCAGTTTTGTTCAAATCTCACAGAAACAAAACTTAAAACCACACATCACTAATTTACATAAACTAAGTGAAGATAAAACTCCAGCTCTTGTGTCGCTGATGTGGTTCAACTTGTGTTGGATTAAAAGACATGACTCAGGTGAATACAGGTCAGTGTGACCAGATTTGTGTTTGTCAAAACCAGGACAGCGTACGGGGGGAGGGGGGCGGGGCCTCGTCATCCACATTGAGCGACTCTCACCTGGAAAAACTTTTTCCCACTGGACACAGAAACATATGTGCTGCTTTATACACTGTGCACATGGACTCACACTTGTCCCAACGCAACGGAAAGTGTGGAATTTCTTGTACAAATCATCGTTAAATCCACATTTGTGCTTCGGTTCGTTACAGACTGACCCACTGTTTGTGTCTCGCTCCTTCTGATGCAGAGACACATGTACACACCTGTTTGGTCACGATACACACAACAACCTACATTCGGTTTGTCGATTAAAATTAACGTAATCGATGAAATTCTTAATGATCAATTATCGATTAATCGACTAATCATGCCCATCCCTAATACAGACGACAAGATAAATAATCCTCATAGTCGTATTTTGAGCTTTATGTGGAGTATACAGACTCAAAACAAACCTTTTATACCAAAGACTGCAACATTATTAAAGTAAAATGTTTTTAAAAAGTTTCATTTTCAGTACACATTTTCTGTTTAAAACTCTGACCCTGTCGTCTGTGTTTCAGGATCACAGACTCTTTTGAAGGCTTCACTCTCAGTCTGCTCTCCTCGCTCATGGTCTCTGGTCCAAACTCTCCTTTCTACAAATCGCTCATCGAACCCAAGATCGGAACGGACTTCTCCTCCGTCGTCGGGTACGGGCTCGAATATATGACATAAAAGATGTAAATTGGAGGTCATCTGTTGTAACCCTGTCCTGTGTTGTCAGGTACGACGGCAGCACCAGGGAGGCGTCGTTCAGCGTGGGTCTGCAGGGCGTCTCGGAGCAGGACCTGGACCGGGTCAAACACATCATCGCCCAGACCATCGACCACATCGTACAGTCAGTCCCGAACACTTTTATACCTCATATTTAAAGCTGCACTCTGTCACTTTTCTGCTGGAGGGTCGGTCACACGCTTTTCTCCATGGAGATCTTAACTCTTTCCCCCATGAAGACGACATTTGACGACCGCCCTTGTTTCCTGAATGACGTGTTTTGACACCTCATTTGACGACCATTAGAAACGGCTCGGTTTTTCACATTTAAAGGTTGTATAGAAGATTTTCCGAGGAAAGAGAAATGCAGCGACTGTTTGTCCTTTTTTAAATGTTGCGCTTCGCTCCTTTTCCCCTTCTCTTCTTCTTTCAGTGACGTCAAAAACTGACTTTCTTTTGCGGCGAACTGGTCGTGAATTCTTGTCTGCCATTAAAAAAAAAAAAAAAAAACTTTGTGCAAACTGAGAGGAGGCTACAGTTCGAAAAAGACGCCGAGAACCACTGTGCTGGTTGAGTAAATGGCATCAGTGCGTGAGAGGCGAACATAAACCACGCAATCCCAGCGCATCGGCATGTCAATGACGCTAGAAACGTAGGGACTTTGACTGACAACGTAACAGCCAATAGATAAAGAGGTAGCCTTGTTATCTATTGGCTGATGTTTATCTACCCCCACCACATCCACAGTTGTTGTTTTTTTGTTTGTTTGTTTGTTTGGTCATCATAATCACAAGGCTGCTGCTTCTCTATAATTTTATTTTGAACTTTCACTGACAAATTGAAAAAAATAAAAAAAAATCCTCCATACAACCTTTAAACAGAGACTGCGATAGGTCGGGGCCACTACAACCCACACTAGACTGACCAATAGGATTCAAGGATATGTTTTCGCCGATTTTTTCCGAAGTTAATCGAAGTAGTGACGATGGAAGCTTCCGGAAAAAACACAACACGAAACACGAGCAATGGAAAGATCGCGGCGCTGCGGCGCACAGTTTTAGAAATAATGAGGAGCGGACGTATTTTATGGATAAGTTTAGAGAAAGTGACTTTTATAGATTTTAAAGTGATGATGAAGTTGATTATAAAATGGAAAACAGAGATAGTGACGGACTTTCAGAGAGTGAATCTGCGATGTCCCAACAAACTATCGGGCTTTATACTCGATTATGAACCAAAATTGCCCTGAGATCTGGATGTTGCCCAGGCGAGTCCTTTAAAATATTTGAGTCTTTTTTTTTTCCAAGATGCGACGTATGACAGAATCGCTACAGAAATAAACACTTATGCAGAGCTCTGCGCAAAAGAAAATAACCAAGATGACAAATACTGGACACCCACTGACGGGGAAGAGTTTTATTATTATATTATTATATTATAATAAGATAATTAGTTGAATAAATTAAATAAGTTGAATAAGTTAAATGGAAAAAATGAATTAGGTCCACACAGGTGAACAACAGGTAAAAACAGGTGCACACTTGGCTTCACTGTATCTGGTGATATGAAATCTGTTTAAACACTTTGACAATATATACTTTTTATTTTTTTATGAATACAGTACTCAGAACATGCAGATATCAGATACTGAATGTAGTTTTTTTGTTTTCGATTTTGCACCTGACCAGGTAAACTCTCATTTTCATTGAGCTGTTATAAACCTGTAAATGAGTTGAATCACATTTAAACATCCAGAAATGAAGAGTTCAGAGTCTGAGGTTTCCAGAGATACTAAATATTAGAGCTCGACCGATATGGATTTTGCTGTGGCCGATATGAAACCGATATAATGGGAGTTGGAGCTGCTGATATATTTAGCGATGTAAAAATTCACTGTAAATGTTGAATTGTTTAAAAAACTTAGGTTTGGCTCTGGTGGATTTTAAATTGGGTTTATTTAGGCAACATTTATTGTTATTCTGCCTCTTTACGTCATATTTACAGACAGTAGATTGGCCTAATGGCATTTTTGCATCACATTCTAGACACTAGTGATGGGGATTCCAGTTCTTTTTAGAGAACCGGCTCTTTTGGCTCGGCTCACTAAAAGCTGCTGGTTCTTTTGGCTCCCAAGCGACTCTTCAGATTGTTTTGTTGCAAGCAGGTCTAAAGCAGGACTGAACCAGGTCTAAACCAGGACTGAAAAAGGACTAAACCAAGGACTAAAACAGATCTAGACCACGTGTAAAACAGGACTAAACCAAAACTGAACCAGGACTGAGTGTCAGGACTCGGTCTCTATCTCGTGCCCAAAATATATATGCACGTTTTTTTTTTCATCCTGTGTACACGCAAATTTCTCTAAGTTTCGTTTTCAGCCGCTGTCAAACCACGAGTCTGCATGCGGCGTGAAGAGAAAAATAGTGAGAGAAAGAGAAAACACCACTTCCAAAAAGGATCAGGCTCCCGTCGTTCGCTTCAAAGAGCCGGATCTAAGAGCCGATAGCCGATATGCATCCAGGTGCTCATATCGGCCGATATATCGGTCGGGCTCTACTAAATATGTCTGTGTTACAATTAAGTTCATGAGTGTAAAAATCATTTATAATCACTCGTGGGAGTCTGTTTTCTTTTATGCAGTGATGCTCTATGTGCAGTTCTGGTCATATATGTTTGGTTTGTTCCTTGTCGGCGTCCGAGGGGGAAGAGTTAACGCTCTGAATGGAAGGTTCTCGATCGTTCCACAGTCGCCACGTCTACATGAGAGCTTTATGTCAGAATAAAAATCATTTAATCCAGAATAAAAATGAATTCCGCTTTGAAAAGACAACTTTACTAAATAATGCCGTGACATCTCCATAGAAACCAGCAGGTGACGGACGCTTCACCAGAAAAGTTCCACAGCGCACCTTTAAATCCAGTTAAACACGTGGATAATTGTTTGTGTCCAGAGACGGGTTTGAGGAGGAGAGGATCGAGGCGCTGCTTCATAAAATCGAGATTCAGATGAAACACCAGACGACAAACTTTGGCCTGGCCCTGGCCTCGGTGAGTAAAACCACGACGACGCTCTCGGGGTTCAGTTATTCTCTCGTCCGTACTGTGAGCTCGCATCTCCACAGACCTGAACCAGGGCCTCTTCCTGCTTGTTTCCATGGCAACGTTGTTCTTTTAGCTCTAATCTTCCACAGTACGGTGTAACATGTGTTTATTTTTCCATGGATTCATGCAGCTGACCCCTGGAAAGTTACGTACTGTCACTTTAACCAAAAACTGACCTACAAATCCTGTTTGTGAAGCACTAAGATCTGTTCTTAAGATATAATCATTTATCTTAGTTATTAAAAAAACCAGATATTAAGTTATTAAATTATGTCACGTGTTCAGAATTTTCAAAATACAAATTTTTGGTTCAGTTCTTAAATTGTTAGTTTCCATAGCGACAGTGGCTCAGGTTGAACAGCTGATGCTTCATAACCACAAAACTGTTGGTGTGTAGTAGTAGGAGTAGGAGTAGTTGTAGTAGTAGTAGTAGTAGTTGTAGTAGTAGTAGTAGTTGTAGTAGTAGTAGTAGTAGTAGTAGTAGTAGTAGTTGTAGTAGTAGTAGTTGTAGTAGTAGTAGTTGTAGTAGTAGTTGTAGTACTAGTAGTAGTTGTAGTAGTTGTAGTAGTAGTAGTACTAGTAGTAGTTGTAGTTGTTGTAGTTGTAGTTGTTGTAGTAGTAGTAGCAGTTGTTGTTGTAGTTGCAGTAGCAGTAGTTGCAGAAGGAGTAGGAGTAACAGTAGGAGTAGTTGCAGTAGCAGTTGCAGTAATAGTTACAGTAGTAGTTGCAGTAGTATTAGTATCAGTAGTAGTAGTATTAGTAGTAGTTGTTGTAGTAGTTGTAGTTGTAATAGTAGTTGTAGTTGTAATAGTAGTAGTAGTAGTAGTAGTAGTTGTAGTAGTTGTAGTAGTAGTAGTTGTAGTTGTAATAGTAGTTGTAGTAAGTAGTAGTTGTAGTTGTAGTAGTTGTAGTAGTAGTAGTTGTAGTTGTAATAGTAGTTGTAGTAGTAGTAGTTGTAGTTGTAATAGTTGTAGTAGTTGTAGTTGTAATAGTAGTTGTAGTAGTAGTAGTTGTAGTTGTAGTAGTAGTAGTAGTTGTAGTTGCAGTAGGAGTAGGAGTAACAGTAGTAGTAGTTGCAGTAGTAGTATCAGTAGTTGCAGTAGTAGTAGTAGTAGTCAGTAGTAGTAGTAGTAGTAGTTGCAGTAGTAGTATCAGTAGTAGTAGTTGCAGTAGTAGTATCAGTAGTAGTAGCAGTAGTAGTAGTCAGTTGTAGTAGTAGTTGCAGTAGTAGTATCAGTAGTAGTAGTTGTAGTAGTTCAGTAGTAGTAGTAGTAGTCAGTAGTAGTAGTAGTAGTCAGTAGTAGTAGTCAGTAGTAGTAGTAGTAGTAGTGTACAGTAGTAGTAGTAGTTGCAGTAGTAGTAGTTGTAGTAGTAGTATCAGTAGTAGTAGTAGTATCAGTAGTTGCAGTAGTAGTCAGTAGTAGTAGTAGTAGTTGTCAGTAGTAGTAGTAGTAGTAGTAGTAGTAGTAGTATCAGTAGTTGCAGTAGTAGTATCAGTAGTTGCAGTAGTAGTAGTAGTAGTAGTAGTAGTAGTCAGTAGTAGTAGTAGTAGTAGTAGTAGTTGCAGTAGTAGTATCAGTAGTGCAGTAGTAGTAGTTGCAGTAGTAGTAGTCAGTAGTTGCAGTAGTTGCAGTAGTAGTAGTAGTAGTTGTAGTATTAGTATTTACCCGTCGTCTGTGTTCAGTACATCGCGTCGTCGTGGAATCACGGTGGAGATCCAGTGGAGCTGCTGCAGATCGGGGAAAGTGTGAACAGATTCAGAGAAGCTCTGAAGGAAAACCCCCGATACCTACAAGAGAAGGTCCAGAAGTACTTTAAAGTAAGTCCTCCTCTCACCCGACCTTCTGACCCTCTGACTTTCTCTCTGACCTTCTGACCCTTCTGACCTTCTGACCCTCTCCTCTGACTCCTCTGACTTCTCCTCTGTTCTTCTGACCTTCTCCTCTGTTCTTCTGACCTTCTCCTCTGTTCTTCTGCTGACCTTCTCCTCTGACCCTCTGATCTTCTCCCCTGCTCCTCTGACCTCTCTGACCTCTCCTTGACCCTTTCCTCTGCTCCTCTGACCTTCTCCTCTTTTCTTCTGACCTTCTCCTCTGCTCCTCTGACCTTCTCCTGTGACCCTCTGATCTTCTCCCCTGCTCCTCTGACCTCCTGACCCTCTGCTCTGACCCGCTCCTCTGCTCCTGTGACCTTCTTTGCTCCTCTGACCCTCTGACCTTCTCCTCTGTTCTTCTGACCTTCTCCTGTGACCCTCTGACTCTCCTCTGTTCTTCTGACCTTCTAACCTTCTCCTGTGACCCTCTGACCTTCTCCTCTGTTCTTCTAACCTTCTCCTGTGACCCTCTGACCTTCTCTCCTCTGACCTTCTCCTGACCTCTGACCCTCTGACCTTCTCCTCTGACCCTCTGACCTTCTCCTCTGACCCTCTGACCTTCTCCTCTGACCTCTGACCTCTCCTCTGACCCTCTCCTCCTCTGTTCCAGGAGAACACTCACAGACTGACCCTGTCCATGGGTCCAGATGATCAGTACCTGGAGAAACAGGCCAAAGCCGAGGAGGAGAAACTTCAGCAGAAGGTCCGGGCTCTGACGGAGGAGGACCGCAGGGAGATCTACGAGAAAGGTGACGGAAACATAACGTTCAGATGATCCGTCGTCTGTCGTTGTGTTGAGTTTGGGAGGAGCTCTGATCTTTGACGAGGTTTGTTTTTGTGCAGGTCTGGAGCTTCTCTCTGCTCAGTCGGCTCCTCAGGACGCCTCGTGTCTCCCGGCTCTGAAGGTGTCGGACATCGACCCCGTCACCGCCAGGACTCCGGTTCAGATCTCCTCTGTGGGTGCGTCATCACAACTCTTTTTTTTTTCCCGTTTTACTCATATATTTATTACTCCTATTTAAGGTTTTTATTGTAAAGTTTTCATGTTTATTTTTTAAAAGAAATCTCCAAACTTCTGCTCCTCAAACGTTTCTCCTTCTGGTTTAAAGTTTTTTCAGCTGAAACTCTCACTTTTAAACCAGGACTAAACCAGGACTAAACCAGGACTAAACCAGGACTAAACCAGGACTAAACCAGGACTGAACCAGGACTGAACCAGGACTAAAACAGGACTAAACCAGGACTAAACCAGGACTAAACCAGGACTAAACCAGGACTAAACCAGGACTGAACCAGGACTAAACCAGGACTAAACCAGGGTCTAAACCAGGACTAAACCAGGACTGAACCAGGACTAAACCAGGACTAAACCAGGACTAAACCAGGACTGAACCAGGACTAAACCAGGACTAAACCAGGACTGAACCAGGATTAAACCAAGACTGAACCAGGACTGAACCAGGACTAAACCTGGACTAAACCAGGACTAAACCAGGATTAAACTAAGACTTTAAAAGGACTAAAACAGGACTAAACCAAGACTAAACCAGGACTAAACCAGGACTGAACCAGGACTAAACCAGGTCTAAACCAGGACTGAACCAGGACTGAACCAGGACTAAAACAGGACTAAAACAGGACTGAACCAGGACTGAACCAGGACTGAACCAGGACTAAACCAGGACTAAACCAAGACTGAATCAGGACTAAACCTGGACTAAACCAGGACTAAACTAAGACTTAAAAAGGAGTAAACCAGGACTAAACCAAGACTGAATCAGGACTAAACCTGGACTAAACCAAGACTAAACCAGGACTAAACAAGGTCAACAAATCTGCACCTGACACTTTCACCTGCCTCACCTGTCTCACCTGTCTCACCTGTCTCACCTGTCTCACCTGTCTCACCTGTCTCACCTGTCTCACCTGTCTCACCTGTCTCACCTGTCTCAGCTCAGGTTAAACTTGAGAGATTCTAACGATCTTGATGTTGTATTTTGATCTTCTGTGTCATTTCCATCTTGAAGTACTAAACGTTAATCGTAAACGCCTCTTCCCCCCCCGTCCTTCTGTCTGTCCGCCTGTAGGGGGCGTCCCGGTGCAGTTGTGTGAACAGCCCACCAACGGCCTGGTCTACTTCAGAGCTCTGTGTAACCTCAACACTCTGCCCGAAGACCTGCGCCCCCTCGTGCCGCTCTTCTGCTCCGTCATCACCAAGTACGAGTTTATCTTTATTCACCTGTATCCAAGACGCCATCGCTCCATAAATCTGCGTTTTCCCCTACCCCCCATGTACACTTTTGTTTACTACAGGGCTCGCGTTAAGGCTGACACACAGTACAGGAGAATTTGCCCAATTTTAACTGCGATTTACTACTTACTCCTGGAGTTCAGGGAGACGTGACCCGACTTTTTGTCTTTGTGTGTGATTTTTGAAGCCGCTGCTGTGTGTGTGTGTGTGTGTGTGTGTGTGTGTGTGTGTGTGCGTGTGCGTGTGTGCGTGTGTGTGTGTGACTCTGAGCTGCTCTGTCAGATCATAATAACATCAGCAACACTACAGTAAGAGAATAAAACAAAGCATCAGAGGAGAGATGGACACAGAGACACAAGTTACAAACTCAAGAAATAGGGAAAATAAAGAGAAGACTTTGTTCCTCACCCAGGCCCTGCGCCTCATAGGCAGAGGAGGCGCTTGCTTAGGGACACATGTGTCTGACACGCCATCTAGTGGTGGCCATCACCATATTTTCATTAGCCTACCTACCTAAACTGGAATTTGCTTATTAAGCAAAAGATGTTCATTTAGTCTTCTTATGTACTTTAACTTCTTGGGTTCTTTTTAAAGACAATGCAGTAAAGTGTGTTTACCTTGTTGACATGTTTCGGCTGCTCGCTGCAAGCCATGTCAACAAGGTAAACACACTTTACTGCACTGTCTTTAAAAAGAACCCAAGAAGTTAATGGAATTTGCTTAATGTAACACATAACACCACAATGAACCGAACCGGGCTCGGACTGGTAATCTGTACAACCAGGCAAATGCCCAGGGGGCCAGTCCACATTTGGGCCCCCCACCCCCGGTCTTCAGTTTAGACTAACTCAAAATACACACTAGTGACACCCCCTCTTACAGGCCAAGGCCCACCCAAATCTCAACATGCTCACCCAAACCCCCCAAAAAACCTCATCATATATTACAGCGATCACTGCATAAAAGCATAAAGACTTTGTGGGAACAGATTTGTTTGTATTTCAGCTTTAATAAGCAACAGTCAAAAAACAAACAGAGCAGGTTTATGTCTCGAACACTTCTGCCTCACTCATGATCCAAACGCACTGACCGAAACCAACTCCTGTCACTCGGCCCCAAACAACACTTTCCCATGAAGCATTGCGGCCAAGTTCATAGGTCGATACAGTATTTTAATTTTGTCAAGTATTATTAAAATCAGATTCATCATAATTTGTGCTAAAATAGTCAGGATATGTTTTTTTTTTCTTTAATAAAAAAGTAGTTTATGTGGATGTTTGTGCATGCTCAGCAGACAGTGGCTCTTCCTGCATCAGTTTGCGGCGCCTCCGCTGTGTTACAGACAAATAATCGTCTGTTTTATACAGTGAGTCTCTGCTCCACTGGCTCATACAGCGGGAGTAATATTTGCAAAGGTCATTTTACACAGCCCTCCCCTCGAGCTCCTCACGACTTCTACACGCTCTGTTCACGAGGCACGTTTCCCGCCACATGTCGTACAGTTTGACATGCTACCAAAAGAAGCCTAGAGCAGCTAATGGGTCAGAACCGGCCCTGTCCTCACCTCTCATCAAGTGGTAAATTTAAACTGCAGCGTCTCGTCCACATTATCCATAGAATTTGTCCTCTGCAAATAATGACTCCAGTTCAACAAAATGGCTCTGTGAATCCAGTTTGAGTCATTCTTTAAAAGTAAAAAGGCCGGAGTAGTTCCTCACGTGCGTCTGTTTACATCCACACAGCGCACGGATCGAGCTGAAGCTGCAGATTCTCCACAGTGACTCGACTTCCCCATGACTTTATCTCCAATCTTTTATGCTTTAAAAATCCTGTACACTACCGTTGAAAAGTTTAGGGTCACCCAGACAATTTTGTGTTTTCCATGAAAAGTCACACTTTTATTCACCGCCACGAGTTGTAAAATGAACAGAAAATATAGTCAAGGTTAGAAATAATGATTTGTATTTGAAATATATTTTTTTCCTTCAAACTTTGCTTTCAACAAAGAATCCTCAATTTGCAGCAATTACAGCATTTGGCATTCTATCTGTTCATTTGTTGAGGTCATCTGGAGATATTTCACCCCACGTTTCTAGAATCGCCTCCCACAAGTTGGATTGACTGGATGGACATTTCTTGCGTACGTACGGTCAAGATGCCCACTTCTCTTTCTACTCTGCTTAGAGCCTTTTTGAGCTGTTCTCTGAAGGGAGTAGTTCACACCGCTGTAGGAAATCTTCAGTTTCTTGGCAATTTCTCACATGGAATAGCCTTATTTTCTAAGAACAAAAATAGAGTGTCGAGTTTCACATGAAAGTTCTTTTTTTTTCTGGCCATTTTGAGCGTTTAATTGACCCCACAAATGTGATGCTCCAGATACTCAACCTGCACAAAGAAAGGTCAGTTTTATAGCTTCTCTAACCAGATAAACTGTTTTCACCTGTCCTAACATGATGCACAAGGGTTTTCTAATCATCGTTTAGCCTTCTGACACAATGAGCAAACTCGTTGTACCATTAGAATTAGGGATGGGCATTCGATGAAATTTTCTTAATCGATCATCGAGATAATTAACGATCGATTATCAATTAATCATTAACGTTTTTATATTAAAATGATCATCATTATTATTACTATCTGCACTAATCTGCATAAATAAATTCAACTTTACGACATATAAACATAACGACTCTAGATCCACATCAGCTGTTTGACATTATAATGTGTTTAATTCAGTTTTGTTCAAATCTCACAGAAACAAAACTTAAAACCACATCACTAATTTACATAAACTAAGTGAAGATAAAAACTCCAGCTCTTGTGTCGCTGATGTGGTTCAACTTGTGTTGGATTAAAAGACATGACTCAGGTGAATACAGGTCAGTGTGACCAGATTTGTGTTTGTCAAAACCAGGACAGCGTACGGGGGGAGGGGGGCGGGGCCTCGTCATCCACATTGAGCGACTCTCACCTGGAAAAACTTTTTCCCACTGGACACAGAAACATATGTGCTGCTTTATCCACTGTGCACATGGACTCACACTTGTCCCAACGCAACGGAAAGTGTGGAATTTCTTCTACAAATCCTGGTTAAATCCACATTTGTGCTTCGGTTCGTTACAGACTGACCCACTGTTTGTGTCTCGCTCCTTCTGATGCAGAGACACATGTACACACCTGTTTGGTCACGACACACACAGCAACTTACAATCGGTTTGTCGATTAAAATTAACGTAATTGATGAAATTCTAATCGACTAATCATGTCCATCCCTAATTAGAACACTGGAGTGACAGTTGCTGGAAATGGGCGTCTACACACCTGTGTAAATATTGCACCAAAAACCAGACATTTGCAGCTCGAACAGTCATTTACCACATTAACAATGTATAGAGTGTATTTCTGATTAGTTTAAAGTTATCTTCATTGAAAAAAACAGTGCTTTTCTTTCAAAAATAAGGACATTTCTAAGTGACCCCAAACTTTTGAACGGTCGTGTATCTGAAGTTTTGCTCTACGTTTCACAAATAATAATCACACAGTTTTGACTTGTGTCTAAACTAGAAGTGCAGAGTCTGATCTTTGACACTTCAGAGTCTCAGAGCGACTGGAGACAGGAAACATCTGACGTCATCACAGACTCACACGTTTATCTCCTGATCCACACACAGATCCACTTACAGTTTGTTCAGACACACGGGGAATATCAGGCGCAGATCTTTTAAATGTTCTTTTGTTTCCGGTAGGATGGGCTGTGGGTGGATGGATTACAGGCAGCAGGCTCAGCGCGTGGAGCTGACGACCGGAGGCATGTCTGTGTCGCCTCAGGTCATCCCCGACTCCTCCCACCTGGACACGTACGAGCAGGTACTGTGCTCCGCCCCCGGGTCCGTCTCTGTCTCTGTCTCTGTCTGGGTGAGTTTCCTCTGAGCACAAAACCCCCAAAAAATCTGTCAAACCCTCCAGTTAAAGTCCTGACCAAGACCAGGTCAGGATCTGGAGATGGTCCCACCCAGCAGACAGTGTCGGGGAGTAACAGATTACATGTACCAGAGTAATCAGAGTACAAATGATGAGTAACTGTATTCAGTTACAGTTACTGTTTCAGTGAGTAGTAATTGGATTACAGTTACTTTGTTAAAATAAATGGATTACACAGAAGTATTTTCCTGTTTTCATATTTTGGGCTAAACCAGGACTAAACTAGGACTAAACCAGGACTGAACCAGGTCTAAACTAGGACTAAAACAGGTCTAAACCAGGACTAAACCAGGACTGAACCAGGTCTAAACTAGGACTAAACCAGGTCTAAACTAGGACTAAACCAGGACTAAACCAGGTCTAAACTAGGACTAAACCAGGTCTAAACTAGGACTAAACCAGGACTAAACCAGGTCTAAACCAGGTCTAAACTAGGACTAAACCAGGACTAAAACAGGTCTAAACTAGGACTAAACCAGGTCTAAACTAGGACTAAACCAGGACTAAACCAGGTCTAAACTAGGACTAAACCAGGTCTAAACAAGGGCTAAACCAGGTCTAAACCAGGACTAAACCAGGTCTAAACCAGGACTAAACCAGGTCTAAACCAGGACTAAACCAGGTCTAAACTAGGACTAAACCAGGTCTAAACTAGGACTAAACCAGGTCTAAACCAGGTCTAAACTAGGACTAAACCAGGATTTAACAGGACTAAATCCTGCTGTGTGGACGTGTTTCTTCGTTTTCTATCAATAATATTTTTAATTTGGTTCAGTAAAGTCTGGACTTTTTATTTTCTTTTATCAGACAAAACTTCTTATGTGAAGATTTCCTCGTCAAGTAATCCAAAGTATTCAGATTACATTACTCACTTTAAGTAATTTAATGGATTCTGTTACAAACTACATTTTGTTGTGTGTAATCTGTAATCTGTAGGGGATTACATTTTAAAAGTCACCTTCCCAACACTGCCAGTAGACTCTGGAGGACGGGTCAAATGCAGAGGGTTGTGTTGTGTTGTGTTGTGTTGTGTTGTGTTGTGTTGTGTTGTATTAATTGTGTGTACTTGCTGTGTGTGTCCAGGGGGTGGTGCTGTCGTCCTCGTGTCTGGACAGAAACCTGCCTCACATGTTTGAGCTCTGGAGAGACGTGTTCAACAGGTGACCTCCTCTGATCCTCACGTTCATGTCCAAGTGAAAATAAAAACTGTATTTATCATTTAAACATCACCTAAAGTCAAAGAAAATATAATAGAATATCAAATGTTCTTATTATTTAAAGGGCCCATCTCATGCCAAATCAACTTTTCAGTTCTTTTTACCTTCTCAGAGTGATGTGTGGCTCTTGTATTTGTCGCCCAAGTGGTTTTTAGATTGATTCTTTTTTTTTAAACAAATTGCAGCGTATTTCTGCCTCCCTCCCACGTGACAACGAACTAAAGCTGCTACAACGATGACGCGGCAGATTCACCTGTGACACGTCTGACGTAACAGAAACTTTCATAGTTCCTGGTCTGTGAATGTCTCCAAAAAATCTGTAAGATTTCAGAACTGTTGTGTAATGGAAGTTCCAAAACCCAAACTGTGCAGAAAATACAATGTGAAAAGAGTTATTTTGTGTGAGATGGGACCTTAAAGTTTCACTGTATAACCCAGAATTTACACCAGGACTAAACCAGAACTAAACCAGGACTAAACCAGGACTAAACCAGGACTAAACCAGGACTAAACCAGGACTAAAACCAGGACTAAAACCAGGACTAAACCACTAAAACCAGGACTAAACCAGGACTAAACCAGGACTAAAACCAGGACTAAAACCAGGACTAAACCAGGACTAAACCAGGACTAAAACCAGGACTAAACCAGGACTAAACCAGGACTAAACCAGGACTAAACCAGGACTAAAACCAGGACTAAAACCAGGACTAAACCAGGACTAAACCAGGACTAAAACCAGGACTAAAACCAGGACTAAACCAGGACTAAAACCAGGACTAAACCAGGACTAAACCAGGACTAAAACCAGGACTAAAACCAGGACTAAACCAGGACTAAACCAGGACTAAAACCAGGACTAAAACCAGGACTAAACCAGGACTAAACCAGGACTAAAACCAGGACTAAACCAGGACTAAAACCAGGACTAAAACCAGGACTAAACCAGGACTAAAACCAGGACTAAACCAGGACTAAACCAGGACTAAACCAGGACTAAACCAGGACTAAAACCAGAACTAAAACCAGGACTAAAACCAGGACTAAACTAGGACTAAACCAGGACTAAAACCAGGACTAAACCAGGACTAAAACCAGGACTAAAACCAGGACTAAACCAGGACTAAAACCAGGACTAAACCAGGACTAAACCAGGACTAAAACTAAACCAGAACTAAAACCAGGACTAAATCCAGGACTAAACCAGTACTAAACCCAGGACTAAACCCAGGACTAAACCCAGACTAAAACCAGGACTAAACCAGGACTAAACCAGGACTAAACCAGGACTAAGACCAGGACTAAACCAGGACTAAACCAGGACTAAACCAGGACTAAACCAGGACTAAACCAGGACTAAACCAGGACTAAACCAGGACTAAAACCAGGACTAAAACCAGGACTAAAACCAGGACTAAACCAGGACTAAACCAGGACTAAAACCAGGACTAAAACCAGGACTAAAACCAGGACTAAACCAGGACTAAAACCAGGACTAAAAACCAGGACTAAAACCAGACTAAAAGGACTAAAACCAGGACTAAAACCAGGACTAAACCAGGACTAAAACCAGGACTAAACCAGACTAAAACCAGGACTAAAGGACTAAACCAGGACTAAAAGGACTAAACCAGGACTAAACCAGGACTAAAACCAGGACTAAAACCAGACTAAACCCAGGACTAAACCAGACCAGGACTAAACCAGGACCAGGACTAAACCAGGACTAAAAGGACTAAAACCAGACCCAGGACTAAACCACCAGGACTAAAACCAGACTAAAAAGACAGGACTAAAACAACAGGACTAAACCTAAACAGAAACCAGACTAAAACCAGACTAAACCAGAACTAAAACCAGGACTAAACCAGGACTAAAACCAGAACTAAAACCAGGACTAAACCAGGACTAAAACCAGGACTAAAACCAGGACTAAATCAGAACTAAACCCGAACTAAAACCAGTTCTAAACCAGGATTAAAACGGGGCTAAAACAAGAATTAACCGGGACTAAACCATCAGGCGCAGACTGCGATTGATTGATCGATGATTCCACATCATTTTGAGTAAAAAAAACAAAAACATAAAATATTACTGATTTTCACTGGGCTGGTGCCTTTATGTTTGTACTGTCAGTGACTTTTTTTTTTTTTTTTTTTTTTAATAAATAACCTGGGTGTAAATAGCAGTAATGGATATTTGCTCTATGTGTAAATAACATCTGCCATAAAATCAAAAGGGGAAAGTCTTGTCACAGTTAAACTCGTTCCGGTGATAAAATGGGTTTGTGCTGTTGTGTCTGTCTCTTGTGTGACCGTCTCTCTGTCTCTTCTTTCTTTTCTCTCTTTTCTTTAAACTGTAACCGTGCTCGTGCGCGTCAGTCCTCGCTTCGACGACGAGGAGCGTCTGCGTGTTCTGGTGATGATGTCGGCGCAGGAACTGGCCAACGGGATCTCGTACTCCGGTCACATGTACGCCATGACCCGAGCCGCTCGCCACCTGACGCCCGCCGGAGACCTGCACGAGACGTTTGGAGGAATGGAGCAGGTACAGAGAATATACAAAGAATACACACAAGATAATACACAACAAGATACACACACGATACACACACAAACACACACAAGATACACACAATACACACACAGATACACACAATACACACACAATACACACACGATACACACACACACACGATACACACACACATACACACACACACAGATACACACACAATACACACACACAATACACACAATACACACACAAGATACACACAAGATACACACACAATACACACACAATACACACACAATACACACACATACACACACACACACACAGATACACACACAATACACACACAAGATACACACACACATACACACACACACACAATACACACACATTATACACACAATACACACACACATACACACACACACACAATACACACAATACACACACAATACACACGATACACACACAAGATACAAACATAATACACACACAAGATACACAACACAATATACACAATATACATACATGCGCACAGACACAATACACACAATACACACACGCATACACACAACACACACACACGATACACACAGGATACACAAAGAATACAAAAGAATACTGTATTTTTCGGACTATAAACACCTTTTATACCAACATGTTTTATTTTGGATCCTCCAGGTGAAGTTCATGAAGAGAGTCGCCGAGACCCCGGACCTGAACCACCTGATCCGGACTCTGCCCCGACTCAAGAAACACCTGTTTAACCCACACAACATGAGGTACTGAACCAGGACTGAACCAGGACTAAACTGAACCAGGACTGAACCAGGTCTGAACCAGGACTAAACCAGGACTGAACCAGGACTGAACCAGAACTAAACCAGGTCTGAACCAGGACTGAACCAGAACTAAACCAGGACTCTGAACCAGGACTAACCAGGAACTAAACCAGGACTGAACCAGGACTGAACCAGAACTAAACCAGGTCTGAACCAGGACTGAACCAGAACTAAACCAGGACTGAACCAGGACTGAACCAGAACTAAACCAGGACTGAACCAGGACTGAACCAGGGTGAACTGAACCAGGACTGAACCAGGTCTGAACCAGGTCTGAACCGGGACTAAACCAGGACTAAACCGGGACTGAACCAGGTCTGAACCAGGACTAAACCGGGACTAAACCGGGACTGAACCAGGACTAAACCGGGACTAAACCGGGACTGAACCGGGACTAAACCGGGACTGAACCGGGACTGAACCAGGTCTGAACCAGGACTGAACCAGGACTGAACCGGGACTAAACCAGGACTAAACCGGGACTGAACCAGGACTAAACCAAATACTGAAACAAATTCAAAACAAAATGTGTATATTATATATTTATACATTTGTATAATAATGAGAATAAAAATAAGCGTGTACATTTGTGTCAGGTGTGCGATCAACGCCACTCCACAGAAGATGTCCGACTCCTCCAAACACCTGGAGACGTTTCTGAGGGACGTGTCAGGAAACAGGAAGGACCGAAAGCCCGTCAGACCCACCACCGTCCAGGTACACAACACGTCTACATGTACTTTGAGTGTGTAATACAGGTACTTCAAACCGCTGGAGGTGTTGTATTTAAACATGTCTGTAGTGGACATATGATACCTACAGATGGAACAGCAGCTACATGATTTCGTGTAACAGAAAGTTAAACCACACTTTGGAACGTTCTCCATGGAGTTTACACCACAGTACGGAATATTACAGCCAAAGGAATATTTCCATGGAAACACACAGGAAGAGGCTCATCTCCAGGTCATTTAAGAGTCAGGTTTATCAGTAAAGACACATGTTTTCTGAGGGTTTCAGTGCGATAAACAACCAAAAAACAAAAACACATGATTTTCTCTTGGTCTATTTTTTTCCTAAAATGATACAAACTGTGGCTTTAAAACATTTTTAATGTTTTATTGTTTTAACAGAAACCCATCGACCCACGGCTCGAATCTGGACCCACCAAGACTCTCATCGCCGTATGTTCAGTTTGAAATAATCTTGACTCTATAAAAATCATCATCATTTATTTTATTTTTTATTTAGTCTTTAATTCTAATCTCATCCTCAGGATTCAAACTACCAACCCTGTCACATGAAGACTTTCTTCCAGATGCCCTTCCCTGTCAACTTTGTCAGTCAGAGCATTCGCACTGTTCCCTTCACACATCAGGACTACGCCAGGTAAACATGAACACTGCTCCCTCTATCACCACGGTAACGCCAGGTAAACACTGCTCCCTCTATCACCACGGTAACGCCAGGTAAACATGAACACTGCTCCCTCTATCACCACGGTAACGCCAGGTAAACATGAACACTGCTCCCTCTATCACCACGGTAACGCCAGGTAAACATGAACACTGCTCCCTCTATCACCACGGTAACGCCAGGTAAACATGAACACTGCTCCCTCTATCACCACGGTAACGCCAGGTAAACATGAACACTGCTCCCTCTATCACCACGGTAACGCCAGGTAAACATGAACACTAAAACACTGCTCCCTCTATCACCACGGTAACGCCAGGTAAACACTGCTCCCTCTATCACCACGGTAACGCCAGGTAAACATGAACACTGCTCCCTCTATCACCACGGTAACGCCAGGTAAACACTGCTCCCTCTATCACCACGGTAACACCAGATTTATAAGAGTCTCTCTCAGTCGGAGCAGAGTTTGTTTTCTGTCTCATTTTCTGGTATTTTCATCTTCAAATCGTAAAAAGTTAAATCCACAAATGTTTTTTTTTTTTTTTGATAATTTCTATTAATGACCAGCTCCATTCTCCTGCTCTTTTTATCCAACCACAGCGTGTGGGAGGGCATCTGACTCACCACAACATCTGCAGATTACAGTTTTTTGTTTTTTTTTAAATAACCTTTTGTATCTGTAGTATTTGTTGTATAAAAGTACTTCTGTGTTGCGTTCTGTGCTGCAGTCTGTGCGTCCTGGCGAGGATGATGACGGCCAAGTTCCTTCACGGCGAGATCCGAGAGAAGGGCGGGGCTTATGGGGGCGGGGCTCGGATGGGAGGCGGCCTCTTCACCTTCTACTCCTACAGGTACTTCACAATATTCACTGTTACTCACTCTGAAAATCACCTGATAAAAGTGATCGTCTTTGACATTCTGGAGGAGGAAAGTCGCCTGATAATTGAAATATAAAACTAAGAGTCCGGTTTGTGTTATTAGGTTCTTTATTCTGACCAAGAGTTTGTTTTTCAGAGCAGGTTTTAGCAGTTGAAACGGTCTTCTCTTGGTCTGAATAAAGAACCTAACAACATAAATTATCGGAAGACCAAATGAACCTCAAAGGAGTCAGGTTTGTGGAGATGCGAGTCCTCTCACTGTAAAGACACGTGTGTTCTGTGTAATAAACACGACCATAATGAAAAAATGTGCTTTTATTTTAGGTTATTTTTGGCAAAAAGTTACACAGAGTCAGTGCAGACCTTAGTCGCAGTCTGCAGATGTTTCTCTCTCTCTTCTCTCTCTTTTCTCTCTTCTCTCTCTTCTCTCTCTCTTCTCACAGTCTTTTCTCGGTCTTCTCTCTCGATCTCTCTCTTCTCTCGTCTTCTCTCTCTTCTCACAGTCTTCTCTCTCTTCTCTCTCTTCTCTCTCTTCTCTCGGTCTTCTCTCTCTCTCTCTCTCTCTCTTCTCTCTCTCTCTTCTCTCTCTTCTCTCTCTTGTTCTTCTCTCTCTTCTCACAGTCTTCTCTCTCTCTCTCTCTTCTCTCGCTCTTCTCTCTCTTCTCACAGTCTTCTCTCTCTCTCTTCTCTCGTCTCTCTCTCTTCTTCTCACAGTCTTCTCTCTCTCTTCTCTCTCTTCTCTCGGTCTTCTCTCTCTTCTCTCGTCTTCTCTCAGTCTTCTCTCTCTTCTCTCTCTTCTCTTCTCTCTCTTCTCACAGTCTTCTCTCTCTTCTCTCGATCTTCTCTCTCTTCTCACAGTCTTCTCTCTCTTCTCTCGGTCTTCTCTCTCTTCTCTCTCTCTCTCTCTCTCTCTCTCTCTCTCTTCTCTCTCTTCTCTCGATCTCTCTCTTCTCTCTCTTCTCTCTCTTCTCTCTCTTCTCTCTCTCTCTCTCTCTCTCTTCTCTCTTCTCTCTCACAGTCTTCTCTCTCTTCTCTCTCTCTCTTCTCTCTCTCTCTCTCTCTCTCTCTCTCTCTCTCTCTCACAGTCTTCTCTCTCTTCTCTCGGTCTTCTCTCTCTTCTCTCGGTCTTCTCTCTCTCTCTCTCTCTTCTCTCTCTTCTCACAGTCTTCTCTCTCTCTCTCTCTCTCACAGTCTCTCTCTCTCTCTTCTCTCTCTTCTCTCTCTCTCTCTCTCTCTCTCTCTCTTCTCTCTCTTCTCACATCTTCTCTCTCTTCTCACAGTCTTCTCTCTCTTCTCACAGTTTCTCTCTCTCTCTGTCTTCTCACAGTCTTCTCTCTCTTCTCTCTCTCTTCTCTCTCTTCTCTCTCACAGTCTTCTCTCTCTTCTCACAGTCTTCTCTCTCTTCTCTCTCTCTCAGGTACCCTTAGTTAGTCCAGACTCTGGCAGTGTTCTGTAGATGTTTCTTTCTCTCTTTCCTCACAGTTTTTCTCAGAGACCCTCAGTCGGTCCAGACTCTGTAGATGTTTCTCTCTCGTTCCTCACAGTCTTCTCTCTCTTTTCTCTCTTTCTCAGAGACCCTCAGTCGGTGCAGACTCTCTCAGCGTTCCGTCGAGGAGCAGACTGGGCTAAATCTGGACTCTTCTCAGACCAGGACATCGAAGAGGCCAAACTGTCGGTGTTTTCTGCAGTCGACGCTCCAGTCGCTCCGTCTGATAAAGGTCACACACTCACACTGCAGATAAACGCCTCAGTAACAGCACTTTTACTCCACTAATGTAAAGTTTAACTGTACTTTTACTCCACTAATGTAAAGTTTAACAGTACTTTTACTCCACTAATGTAAAGTTTAACAGTACTTTTACTCCACTAATGTAAAGTTTAACAGTACTTTTACTCCACTAATGTAAAGTTTAACTGTACTTTTACTCCACTAATGCAAAGTTTAACAGTACTTTTACTCCACTAATGTAACAGCTTTTACTCCACTAATGTAAAAGTTTAACTAGCAACTTTTACTCCACTAATGTAAAGTTTAACAGTACTTTTACTCCACTAATGTAAAGTTTAACAGTACTTTTACTCCACTAATGTAAAGTTTAACACTGTACTTTTACTCCACTAATGCAAAGTTTAACAGCACTTTTACTCCACTAATGTAAAGTTTAACAGTACTTTTACTCCACTAATGTAAAGTTTAACAGTACTTTTACTCCACTAATGTAAAGTTTAACAGTACTTTTACTCCACTAATGTAAAGTTTAACAGTACTTTTACTCCACTAATGTAAAGTTTAACTGTACTTTTACTCCACTAATGTAAAGTTTAACAGTACTTTTACTCCACTAATGTAAAGTTTAACTGTAACAGTTTAACTTTTTACTCCACTAATGTAAAGTTTAACAGCACTTTTACTCCACTAATGTAAAGTTTAACTGTACTTTTACTCCACTAATGCAAAGTTTAACAGTACTTTTACTCCACTAATGTAAAGTTTAACAGTACTTTTACTCCACTAATGTAAAGTTTAACAGTACTTTTACTCCACTAATGTAAAGTTTAACTGTACTTTTACTCCACTAATGTAAAGTTTAACTGTACTTTTACTCCACTAATGTAAAGTTTAACAGTACTTTTACTCCACTAATGTAAAGTTTAACTGTACTTTTACTCCACTAATGTAAAGTTTAACTGTACTTTTACTCCACTAATGTAAAGTTTAACTGTACTTTTACTCCACTAATGTAAAGTTTACCTGAGTAAAAGTCGTGCTTCCTCCTCTCAGCTTTATGTGACAATATGAAACGATTGGAACATTTGAACAACGATTTGTTTCTTGCAGCTCCGTCAGATCTTATTTAATTTGTCTCATTTTTGTGTCTGTCCTTCGAAAACACCAGATTTTGTGATGTATTTAAGGTTTTGTCTTTTAAATTTCATTCACTTCAAATTATAAATCAGATGTTACGTCCAGTTACTTGTACATCGACTTTTTCTCGAGAAGTGTCTTTTCCTTTGAGCCTTGAGTAAATCCTTTTTGAGTCTTTGAGCTCCTGTCTTACTCCTGTCTTGCACCTGTCTTACTCCTGTCTTACTCCTGTCTTGCTCCTGTCGTTGTGTCAGGGATGAGTTTGTTTCTGAGTGGAGTGACTGACGACATGAGAGACGTTCACAGACAGAGACTCTTCTCAGTTTCTCGTCAGGATCTGCTGGACGTGTCTGAGAGGTAAAAAACACAATCTGCTCTCTGTTCTGATTCCTCTTTTATGTGTTTATATTTGAATTTTACACCAACACAGTTTTACTCTAGGGGTGTGCAAAAATATCGGAATATCGATATATCGTAATGTGATGATACAGTATTGATATCGTGGGCTGCTGTATCGATATATCACCAAGAGTATTTTTAGGTGTGTTTTACTAAATTATTTTGTTACAGCTACAGTTTTGTTGTTTGTGGAGTGAAAGGAAACTCATTTATGCGGCGACACATTTGACATTTTTACTGTTTTGATGATTAAAATGTTTGTGTTTCATATGAACTTTTACAAGAAGAAGTGATTTAACAAAGACTTTTAGTATCACAGACATGATTTAGACTTTATTTTTTATTGAACTGTATCGAATCAATTTGAAATATATCGTATCGAATCGAAAGTGCAGTGTATCGAGATATGTATCGTATCGTGGCCTGTGTATGGAAGTATGTATCGTATCGGCAACTCCTTAATGATACCAGCCCTGGTTCAGGTTTGAGTTTGGATCATTTAGATTGAAATAAATAGTCCAAGTGTCTGAGTCTATTTGACGCTGATGCTTTTCTACAGAGACTTTCAAAGTGTTTTCTTCACTATTCTTCATTCACTCCACACTCTGTGGTGGTAAGACAGTACTGTAGCCACAGCTGCCCTGGGACAGCTTGTACACCACTTTCAAGGCAGTGTGGGTGAAGTGTCTTGCTTAAGGACAAAACAACAGTTTTTTTGCCACTGGTGCCTCACTGTAGCACCTGGTTTGCCCAGTGGTTTCCCATCCCAGTCCTGACCAGGTCCAGCTCTGCTGAGCTTCTGAGACGTGACAAAATCAGGCTTTGAAAAACCAGAATGACAACAACAATAACACTGATTATTATATTAACATTTGTAATGTCAAGATTCAGCGTCATTGTTGATGCAGTTAAATGTGAGATGTACTCAGATGATCATTTCACTTCAAATGGAAAATAATGGTAAAGTTCATCAGATAGACATTCTACAACTAAGTACCATAACTCTACTCACCGTAACACCGCTCACCGTAACACCGCTCACCGTAACACCACTCACCGTAACACTACTCACCGTAACTCTACTCACCGTAACACCGCTCACCGTAACACCGCTCACCGTAACACCGCTCACCGTAACACCGCTCACCGTAACACCGCTCACCGTAACACCGCTCACCGTAACACCGCTCACCGTAACACTACTCACCGTAACTCACCGTAACTCTGCTCACCGTAACTCTCGTAACTCACCGTAACTCTGCTCACCGTAACACCGTAACTCACCGTAACACTACTCACCGTAACACTACTCACCGTAACTCTACTCACCGTAACTCCACTCATGTAACACTACTCACCGTAACACTCTTCTCACGTAACACTACTCTTCTCACGTAACACTCTTCACCGTTTCTCTCTGCTCTGCTCTCTGTGTTTGTGCAGGTACCTGAGCGTCGGCCGCTGCACAGACGGAGCGGCCGTTTTGGGTCCGGAGAACGACGCGATCCGGAAAGACCCGTCCTGGATCATCAAATAAGACAAAAGGAGGACGCTGTTACGGTTTTAGTATTTCACATTTGAGGCGTTTTCAGTGGCCAAAGCTCTAGTTTTATTTCATTAAAGGAATCATGTTTTCGCTGCTCAAATCTGCACAGAAAATCACTCGAATTGAGAATATTCATGAAGTGGACCAACATGACTCAAAGGGAATATGTCTGGATTTGTTTTTGGAGATGTTCACTTGAAAACTACCGCTCCTCATGACATCACGAGGTGGAACAGAGCGTTTGGAGCTTTGCAGGTGTAGACGAATAATAAAGAGAGTAGAACGAAACAAAACACAAGTCCAGGTCTGATTTTGAGGACGGAACGACATTAGAACACGACTTAAATCTCACAAGAGTCGAACCTTTTACATGTTTAAACCGAGGATTAAAGTTACAGTGTGTCACTTTCTGGAGTTGGCACGACAGAAAACCAGACTTTGGTACGTTCTCCATCGTTACAGACAGTGTAGTGGAGTAACAGATTACATGTACCGGAGTTATGTAATCAGAGTACAAATGATGAGTAACTGTATTCAGTTACAGTTACTGTTTCAGTGAGTGGTAATTGGATTACAGTTACTTTGTTGAAATAAATGGATTACATGGTGGTATTTTCCTGTTTTCACATTTTGGGCTATAGTCTAAACCAGGACTAAACCAGGTCTAAACC